ATGTGACTGTAGTTGGAGCTAGGAACTTTAAAGAGGTGATCAAGTTAAAATGAGACTGTTAACATGGGCCCTAATCCTGTGTGACTTGTGTCTTTGTAAAAGAGGAGACAGGATAAGAGACACCAGGAGCACACACACAATGGAAAGGCCACATGAGGGCATGGAGAGAAGGCAGCCACATGCAAATCAAAGAGAGAGGCCACAGGAGAAACAAACCTGCCCATACCTCCGTCTCAGACCTCACCCTCCAGAGCTGTCAGGCATACATTTCTGTTGTTTATGCCACCCAATCTGTGGTGTTTTGTAGGACAGCCCCAGCAGATGAGCCTCCCTGAGACCAATCCTCTCCCCTGAGAGATGGCCTGGGCGGGGCTCCGAGGCCAGGTCAGCAAAAGCACTGTTTTCCTTGGCCACTGTGATGGGTTTGGGGTGGACACACCACTGAAAGTCAACCCCCATTAGCTGGTCCCATCAGAGTGAAACTCAGAATTTCTGCAGGTGCTGCTGGGGAAAGACCAAGGCTCTTTCTGGGGGGACTTGAACCTGGAAGTAGCCTTGGACCTGTGTCTGCCATCGTGTTGCACCAAGAGGTGGCCCTGGGGTTGCTGGCCCAACACTGCCCCTGGGCCCGACCATTCCAAAAGCCTGAGAAACACCCCCTGGCTTCCCGATTCCTCAGGCAGCCACACAGTCCCCCTTTTACCTAACACACCTTGAACTGGGTGTCAGTTTCTGGCGTCTAAGGGGGCTTACCCACTGCATGCCCATCACCTGCTCCTCAGATCTACGCAGGAAAACTGGAACACTCAGAGGGAAGACAGGGCCACCAAGCACAGGCAGAGCTGGGGACCTGACTGGAGGGTGAGGTGGGGGTGGAGGATGAGATTTCAGGTCTATGGGATAGAGAGCCCTTCTTCTTCGGTCCCAGAGCCTTAGCTACTCTCATGGCCGCTCTGAATAAAATACTACATTTCCCAGCATACCCTGCAGCTAGATGTGGTCATGTGACTAGGTTCTGACCAATGAGATGTAAGCAGAAATATGGGGTGGAGCTTCTGGGAATCTCTTCAAAGGCAGCTGGTGGGTCCTGTTGGGCAAAGTCAGGACTTGAGGGCCAGAACTCCAAAAGCCAAAGACCATACCGCTGATCCTCACCCTAAGAGGCAGTACTTGTTAGCTGGTCATTCCCAGAAAGAGGCAACCCCTCAGGGGTGAGAGCACTGGTGAGGAGCCCGTCACCCTAAATGTGAGGCTTATTTCTTGTAAAGGTGCCCTGGAGCAGGAAACCTGTTTCTGTAGAAGGAAAACAAAGCTCAGAAGTCACTTCCGTGACTTCTCAGACTGACGGGGTCTCACTCGACTCCTCTCCCTCTGGTCCCACAGCCACTACCCTAGAAGCCCAGGCCAAGATAAGCCCTTCCTGGCTGGCCAGTAGGTTGTCAGCTTCCCTTCATCCTGGCAGCTTGCTTCTGAGACAGCTCTCCACCGCCAGCACTGAGGCCCGAGCCACTGTCACCTCCTGCCTGGAAGACCCAACCAGACACCTGGCTCCCACACTTGCCCCTCTGCAGTTCATTCTCTTCCCAGCAGCTGAAACAGTGCTGCTAAATCCAAATTTGGATGCTGTCATTCTCTTACCCTCCCCCTCTAGGGGCTCCCCATTCACATTTCCTGACCTGGCCCAACAGATGCTGCGCCATTCAGCTCCTGGCTGTCTGAGCCTTCCTCTTCCCCCATCACTGTACTGCAGCCACACCGGCCTCCTCACTGTTCCTCAAGGTGTTCACCAACCACATTCCTGCCTCAGGGCCTTTGCAATTACTGTTCCCCTTGCCTGGCCTGCTCTTCCACCAGAAATGCCCAGAGCTCCCCTCCCTCACAAACCCAGAGGCCTTTCCTGGCCAAACATGCTGGAACAGTAGCCTCCAGCCATAATGGGCATCCAATAATTATGTGGTGAATGTGTGAATGAATCAATGAATGACATAATGAATGAATGAATTTATATGCAACCTTTAATGAATTTTCCAGAATTTCTATTAGGTTGAATCATATGACACTACCATTTTTGTGGCTCAAAAATCATCACACAGCAGTAATTTCACAGGTTCCACCTAACGTCTGGCAGTCACGCCCATGCTCAAAACCCTCCAACAGCTTCTACCACCTAGAAATTCAAACTCCTTAGACTGACCCCACAGTCAGACTTCCTGACTCCAGCTCCCACTCCCTTCTGGGCCTGCAGATGGTTGCCCTGGCATCCCTATCTCATGGGTTTTCTTGGGCTCCTCTTTGCTGGAATTCCCCACGGCAACCTCCGCATGCCCAAGCCCAATAGAATGCCTCTTGCCACTGGACTCTGCTCCTTTCTGGGGTAAACTGGCAGTGTTCCTCCTCTTCAGCAGCTGGGGGCTGCTTGACAGCAGGGGCTCTTTGCTCAGGTCCTGACGCCCCCAGCCTTCTTGCTACACCCCCATGGGCACTATTCTAAAGCCAGCCGATGCACTGGCTACTCTGAGGGTGCAAGTTGTGCTGGAATGCACCCCATCCTGGGAGACCCTGGCACTCAAATTTGTTGACTTTGGGCAAGTCCCTTCTGAGCCTCAGTTTCCCCATCTGTAACATCTCATATATCAGCAAAGCTATAAGTTTACTGTAATCCTAGCTCTCTGGGAGGCCGAGGCGGGCGGATTGCTCAAGGTCAGGAGTTCAAAACCAGCCTGAGCAAGAGCGAGACCCCGTCTCTACTATAAATAGAAAGAAATTAATTGGCCAACTGATATGTATATAAAAAATTAGCCGGGCATGGTAGCTCATGCCTGTAGCCCCAGCTACTTGGGAGGCTGAGGCAGAAGGATCGCTCGAGCCCAGGAGTTTGAGGTTGCTGTGAGTGAGGCTGACGCCACGGCACTCACTCTAGCCTGGACAACAAAGCGAGACTCTGTCTCAAAAAAAAAAAAAAAAAAAAAAGCTACAAGTTTAAAATAATTCCAGAGTCTAGGCCTGGGTCCTAGGAATAGGGTGTGTGTGTGCATGTGTGTGTGTGTGTGTGTGTGTGAGAGAGAGAGAGAGAGAGAGAGAGAGAGAGAGAGAAAGAGAGAAAGCTTGAGTAGGAGAGTACAGAAAAACCACATGTGACAAGATAAGCCACAAGAAGCTCACAAGACTGAGATGTTGGTCCCCTAAATCAGAGTGCCAGTGATGATGCCATCTCACTGTAGGAACCAGGTAGTCCCATCTTCTCTCTGGGCCTCAGTTTTCCACTACAGGTGAGCCTTGGGGTTTGGAACGGGAGAAGAAGGGCAGAAGGCACAAGGCAAACTCATGCACAGCACAAATGCTGGAAAAGGCTCGCCTGCAGACAGAGGCTCCGTAAGAGCGGCACCACCCTCTCTGCAATTTACTCTGAGTGTAGGGTCCTGTTCTGCGGTTTGCTCAGGGCTTGGTAAGAAGGCACCTACAGAATATGGTGACAAAACCAGGCCTGCTGCAGGACTGGGAAGGGGGAAGAAAGCATTCAGTGGTGAGCTTGGGCATAGAGCCCCTGCCCTCATGAAGCTGACCCTCCCAGTGAATGGATACAGACAGCGCTAAGAGCTGGGATGGGATAGGATGCAGCTTCAGCGGAGAGAGGACTTTCGATGGGCGGATCAAGGAGGCTCTAGGAGACCTGAGCAGGGCCAGGAGTGCGGGCTGTGGAAAGGAGCTAAGACAGAAGGAATGTGCAGTGCTCGGGCCCCAAAGCAGTATCCAGTGTGCTGTGTTTGGGGAAAGGCTAGGCAGAGTGAGCAAGGGGAAGGGGAGGGAGCAGCAGTGGCCAGAGAGCAGTGTCATGGGGATTTCTTTCTGATGGGAGGAAGCCTCCAGAGGGTTTTAAGCAAGGTAATGACACAATCTGATTTCCATTTCACAAGGATGAGCCTGCATGCTGGGTGCAGAAGAGTCTGCAGGATGGCTGGGGATGGCAAGGAGATGCGGTGGTGGGAGCATGAGACAGCCCAGATGTGAGGCAGCGTGACCTGAGGGGGAAGCAGTGAGTATATGGAGAAGTGGCTGGATTTGGAGTGGGTCTTTGCAATATCCCAGTGGACATGCTGATGTTGGGGCTGAGGGAGAGGAGAGAGAGAACACAGGGTGCTCTTAGAGCAGTCATGCGGGAAGGTGACCCACCCCAGCCCAGAGAGACCTGAGGCTGCTCTGACTTGCAGGGAAGCTCACGGTGCAGAAGCAAGCCTGCTGTCCCTGGCCCTGAGTCCCGATGCACACAGTAAGACACACAGCGCCGCCTTCTCCTCACGGACTAGGACATGTAGGAGACCAATATCGCTGTCCCCATCCCCCTTCCACCAGGCTTTTGTCAAAATTGCTTTAGCAGTCAAATGTGTGGCTCAAAACTCTGTGTGTATATGTGTGTCTATGTGTGTATGTCCACATAGACCACACAGACCACTCTCGTAAAACAGGGGCTGCAATATCAAAAGCCACAGGGTTCCAGTGGATTATGCAACAAGATTGTGCAGGCTGGCAGCCGTAGGGAGTGGTGGGGACTGCGGCAGTGAATGGGCTACCCAGGCTCTATCTAAAGGAAGCTGTGTTCTCAACTCCAGCCCACTGCAACCATGTGGGCACATGTGTAAACCATCGGTAGATCTGCAAACTTTTCAAAAGAAGCCAGAAATTCATATTTTTAGGTAAAACAACTGATTTTTACATTTGGGCTTCCGCTTAAGACATATTCAGCACTTTAGTACTGAATCAGCAGGTTAGTACTGGGCCATCAGGTGCTGCTTTTCAACTTTACCAATTGGGGTAGTATGGACTCAAAGCAGAGACCTGACCCTCCTCAACAGACCTGAATTCAAGGCATGGCACTTACAAGATCCCATATGGAGGGACGTTCTAGCAGGGGGCAGGTGAGGGGGTCCCAGGAGTTCCTAAGGGTATTCTGGTCCTCCCATAGCCTCTAAGACCCTGCTTGTGGTGTTAGGGTGAGCACATACCCACTTTGAGCTCCTTCCCAAAGACGGTGCGCTCCCCCAGTGCAGAGCAGTTCCAGCGGCCATTGCGGAACTGAAACTGACACTCGTCCAGGCCCATTTGCGAACCTTCTCCAATGACGATGATGGCGTCGGGCCGGCTCTGGCAGATCGCCCGCTGTCTGGGAGCCAGGCCTGGGATCTTGTTACAGATGATGCTTGCGCCCAGAGCTACCACTGAGGAGAAGCCCCTGCAGGGTGACACAGGGAAATGGAGTGTTAGGCCAGCAAGGTGGATGGCACCGCCAAGAGACCCCACCTAGGTGTCCATCCCTAGCCACCCCACTTCCCCCAGCAAGGGTCTCCCAACTCTTTTGATCCTGCACCCCCAGCCCATGTATATTCATTTATAAATTGATAAATTCCATGTAGGCTCTTGTATCAATGCATATATTCAATATTAGTGAAGCTTGATTTAGTTTTTAGAAACTACAAAAAAGATGATGTATTTTTACAAACATTATACTGAGTGAAGAAAGCAAGTCATTCAATTAAGCTTCCTTGAGTTTGTGGTAGGATTCAATTGAGATGAAGCTCAAAAACATGGGAAAGCAACCCACTATTGCTAGGAGGCCCTCCGCGGTGCGGCTGTAAAAGCAAGCAGGGAGTGATGACTTCAAACTTCCGGGCCACAGCCGCCTCTGAAGGGCACACAGATGTTCATTTACAAAAACTGGTTATACATTGTAGTATATGTTTCATTATGAAAAAGCTTAAAAAGGAATCGTAAGTCTTGATGTTTTCTTCCTGACTGCCCATGAAGCACACCTGTCCCACTGTGGACGTGACCGGCCTACAGGGTGCGTGTGCCTGTCCCCACCAGAGTTCCTACCTTCCTCAACTCATCCCCTGAACACATAACTATGGGGCACCTGGCCGTGCCAGGCACTGCGCTGGGAGACAGGTGTGCCTGGCAGGCGGGGAGGCAGACGATGGCCTCAGGCGCCATGGAGGGAGACTGCGCAGGTGTCACGAATGAACAGAACAGGCCGTTTCAGACAGTGACACGCACTATGATGGAAGTGAATATGCTGTGACGGCAGCTGAGGGTGCAGCGGTGGGGAGGAGCCACTTTAGCTGGGACATTCATGGCGACTTCCCTGAGGCAGGGACATTGGAGCAGGGATCTGAATGGCCAGGAGGCAGCAGGGGAAGATCCCAGGGTGGGAGTGTGGGTGGGGGGATGGGTATTCTGGGCAGAGGGAATAGAAAATGCAAAGTTCTAGGAGGGGTACAAGCTTGAAGTGTCCAAGAAACAGAAAGACCATGGAGGCTGATGTGAAACCGGGGCTTGAGAAGAGCAGGGCCTGCGGAGAGGACTTGGTTCAGGGCCAGAATGTTCTCAGGTGCATCAGGCAGCATCACGGAAGGGCTGTCAGCAGGACACTGACATGATCCGATGACCCCTGCTCCGTGTGTGAAAGGACTGGGGGTGCGAGAGCAGGAGCAGGGGACCAGGAAGCCTAGAGGTGGTGGTGGCTTGGCCTGGTGGCAGTGGTGGGGATGGCCATAGGTGGAGCTGATGGCCTGATGGATGGGCAGGGTCGGGCAGGGATACAGAAGGTGCAAGGGCAACAGAGGCACTAGTGTCACTCCTGGGCATCTGGTGGTGCCATTTCTAATATCAAGATAACTCCAAAAGTTCATCAAGAGAACTTTTAAAGAGAAGACCACTCCCCTAATGTCCCACTTTGGTTATAATAACAGGAGCGTCTACTTACTGGGGGCCACTGCCAGCTACGGGGCAAGCACCTCACCCTGGGGCCCTGCTGTGGGAAGCTGTTCTGGAATTGGGATTTTTCAGGGATGGGCTCCCCTGTGTCAATGACACCTGGAGATGATGTGGACCCATTGCCCTCCATATGCACACTTGACCGCCCCTGCCCTGCTTCCCTGGGCTCCCGCCACACATAGGCCCTCTCCCAACCATAGGCCCTTTGTCCTGGCTAGCCCTCTCCCTGGAAGCTCCCTCACCCCTCATCGTCACCAGCTTGTCTTCAATCCTGTGACCTCAAGGGTCACCTCCCTGACCACCCCAGCTAAGGGAACCTCCCTGCCCTCCCCACCCTGATAACTTTCCATCACAGTCTCTGTTCTGTTTCCTTGATACTCTTGGTTATTCATGGTCTTCTGAAATGTTTTAATGTGTGTGTTGTTTGTAACTTGAGTGCTCCTTTGTTTATCGCCTGCCTTCCTCGGGAGGCTATGCTCTTTGAGGGCAGGGAGGCAGACTGCTGCTTCACTAAAGGGCTTCTGAATGAATGGATTGTGGCACTTCAAGGATGTTGCTCAGGGTGAGTACCTGTCACACAGCAGGTGCCCCCAAACATGCATAAAATGCATCAGTGGACTTTTGGGGCTTCCCCACCATGTGCCAAGGTGGCACGGCGGGTCCTGTCACAAACATCAGCTCATGCAAACTTTCTAAACAGCCCTGTGGGGCAGCAATCATGTCTATCTGAAGCATCTGGAAACTGAGGCTCACAAAGATTGAGACCTGGAGGAAGGCATTCAGCTTGCAGGTATGAGAGGTGTGAAAGCCTGGCTCTATCACATGTACCTCAGTCACTAAAACAGAGTCTACCACACAGCCAGAATGTTCGGAATGTTTGAGGAAGGGGTAGTGGGAAGATTGAGTGGAGATGTTTTCACCACAAGTCAGGAGGAACCTCTGAACACCTGGCTGACCAGCAAGAAATCTTTACACCAGCAGAGAGTGTAATGGTATATTGGGGCCAAGAATTCTGGGGAACAATAGTCAAACACCTTGAGAGTCTGGCCTAGGTTGACATCTGAGCTGCCTTCACTTACTAGCTGTGTGACCTCAGGCAAGTTCTCTTCCCTCTCTGTATTTCAGTTTTCCTGTTGCTAAAAGGAGGGTATTGGTAACTAGTCCCCAGCTCATAGGGATGCCATGAAACGTGCATGTTACAACAGGAAGTCTTAGAAAGTGCCAGGAGCATACTGAATACTCAGTGAATGTGGTGCTGTTGTAGTGATTATTATTGGATCAGATTGTTACGAGGGCTAGTGCGGAATCCCCTGAACTACTCAAATAAAATAAGAACAGTGCAGATGTCCCACCATCAATCAGAAGCTGCTAGGAGCTAGTCACATCTAGGGAACTTGAAGACCTCTTAGGGACGTCTGGACTTCACCCCCCAGCCCATTTTACAGATGAATAGCCTGGGGCTCAGGGAGCAGCAGGGCCTGGCCCTAAGGCACCATGCAACCCCCACCTCCCAGTCTGGCCTCCCCTGAGGGGGAAGGCCAGTGCCCTGCCTGCTCCCTACCGCCGGAGGTGGCCCAGGGAGGGCGGGGCGGCCAGGGGAGGTTATTTTCTGCTGTTTTTCCTTTCTCTCTGCCCTCCCCGGGCCCCTCCGCCCTGTTTCTAATTAAAAAGGAGATAAAGCCGCAGGCATCGAGAGCCAGTGGGCCTGAGCCGCTTCCTGGATGCTGGATGTGTGCGGGTCGGCGGAGCGCGGGCCAAGATGAAGATTAAAGCAGGGAAAAGAGAAAAGCCACCCAGACGCGGGCGAATCAATAACACTTAAACGCGCCGGCAGGCTGGACCCCGCAGCCGCCTCTCCGCCCGCGGTCAGGGCTGGCGGCAGCCTGGTCCTCGGTGAGCACCTGTTGGCCACGGCTCCACTGCTTAAGCGACCCTGTCGCAGACACGCGGGTGAGAACCTGGGGGGCTGGGGGTAGTTGTGGTGAAACACAAAGGATGTGCTACACATGCCCCCTGGCTGCAGCCCCTGAGTTCCGCTCCTCCTTAAAGAGGTGGCGGGGGAGGGGCGGTCAGTGCTGGGTGGTGAAGCGCCAGAACCTCTATCAACCCTAGAGCCCCACAGCTGCCCTCCGTGTCCCACACGCATTATCTCCTAAGTACAAAGGGTGACTGGCCACGCAAATGCAACTCCAAGACGCTCCAAGCCATCCCCTCCCGCCTACAGGCCAAGACCCCCCTCACAGTCTCCCCGCGCAGAAATGCTGGGGTGACGCCTGAGGGCTACTCTGCGGGCACCTGGCAGCCTCCGGTGCCCAGTGCCAAGGTGCAGAGTGCCCTGGGTGCCTCTCCCGTGCTGGCTCCGTGAGCTAGTCTCCCTGGCGTCTCGGGCCATCTCTCGTCCTACGTCTGTGTGTTTGCTGGGGCTGGGAGGCGCTATCCCTTGGCCAGAGAAGGAGCTCTGGGGGTCTGAGGGTCCCTGGAAATTGGGTGGTGCTAGAGCTCTGAGTCGCGGTTTAAGCCTTTGCCCCAAATGTCCTTCCCTCCGGGTACCTGTTCCCTGCTTGCACAGACCGCCGCGCCTGCCACCTGGGGACTGTCCAGTCTCTAGGAGCCGCAGTCTCCGTGTGCAGAGTCCCTCTCTGGGTCTGGGAACTGAGCTGCGGGAGCAGCCGCGACCTACCCTCCCTAGGCCCCGTCTGAAGGGTCCTTGGGATAGGCTGAGCCTGGCCGGCAGCCGGCCCTCTCACAGTCCCCCAGGCTGGAGCATCCCTGCTGGCTGTCTCAGGTTCTGGGGGCTTGAACATTCAGAGGCTCTCCGGATGGCCGGTCCCCTGCCTGAGTCTCCTGGGTGTCCGCCTGCGGGACGCCTTTGTGCGCCCACCACTCCCACGCCGCGCCCACCCGGCTCTCGGACAGGCTGAGCGAGTTGGTGGCCGGCAGCAGCTACCGAGCGGCACACCTCCCTCCGCGGGCCGCGCCAACTTTGCCTGGACACGCGTGGAGGGGCACAGGCAGCCCTTACCCGATCCGGAGGTAGACCATGCCCAGGCTGAGAAAGAGGTGGCCCAGGCAGCGCCGCGCTTTCCGGTTCATAGTCCCCGCTGGCCGCCGGGGCCGCGGGCCGGGCTGTGCTAATCCCGCGGGCCGGCCCCGGCGGGGCAATCAACATAGCCCGCCCGGAGGCGCGGGCCGAGGCGTCCCCGCGGCGGTCTGTCCGTGCGCCCGTCCGAGCGCTCGGCGCCCGAGCCTCGCCAGGAGCGCGGGAGCCACGGAACGGGAGGAGGGAGGGAGGAGCGAGTGCGGCGCGGGGAGACGCTGGGCTGCGCGCTGGCTACCGGTGCAAATGTGCGAGGCGCGGGCAGTGCGGGGGCACTGCCGCCTCCCGCCCCCGCCCCCGCTCCCGCTCCTCCCTCCTCTCCCCTCCCCTCCCCCACTCCCTCCCCGGAGCGCCCTCCCCTGTCCCCGCGCCCGCGGGACAGGCCCGCCATCCCCGGGCGCGCGCTCGCGCCTCTCTCCGTGCACTCCCGCGTGCCCCCTCCCTGCCTCGGGAGGCGGGGGCGCAGAGGCGGTTGCGGGTAGGTGGGAGACCGCTCGCACCCCACGCGTCACTAACTCGCAGGTTGCGGGACGAGTGGGCATCCAGACGCTACCCTCGGGTGGAGGGGATCAGACTCGGCCGAGAGCCCTCGGGCCTTGGCCTGCGGTCCCGCCGCGGGTGGCGGGGCGCATCTCCGTTCCCCCTTCCCCCGGCTCGCTAGTCCAGCTTCAGGGGAGGGCGCGCCTTCTGCGACGCTACCGGCCCAGCGGGTGCAACGGGCTCCGCCTCTTCCTTCCCCACCCCTATCGATTGGAGGGTGCGGGCAGCCTCCGTGGGGTCCTGTAGTGCTGGCAGACGGAGTGGGCCGAGGCCCGGCTACCCCGCACAGCCCGGCCCGGGGGCGTCCGAGCCGCCCGGGCGTGCCGCTCAGCGGGCCTCTCCGAGCGCGCTCGAGGCGACACCAGGCGGGCGCGGCCGGTGATGCAGCTCGGCCTCGCTCCCGGGGACGGAGGGCTCTGAGCATCCTGGCTGACCAGGGTGCTAACCAACTTCCTTCCATAGACACCCAGTCCACTGAGCTAGGGGATATCGGACTCAAGGTTCAGCTGAAGAAATGGAGGCTCCAGGAGATGAAGGTGGTTCCCCAAAGTCTCTGGCTAGTAAGCGGTAAAGCCACATCAGAAACAAGGTGTGCTCAACTCTAGTAACCTCTCCCCTACCCCACCTGTCCTTCAAAGACTTCCTTTCTAAATTACACACACACACACACACACACACACACACACACACACACACACACACACTTCCCTGAAAGCCACTGTGCATTTCATGCATTTACGTTGCACACGTGTCTGTGCCGGGCACCATGGTGGGCACTGTGGACACAAGGAACAAGAAAGGCCAGAGCCCCTCCTCCTAGAGTCAAGAAGGGAGACAGACCGTCAGTAAACAAACGCACGGTTTTAGGTAGCACAGGCTCAAGTGAAGACCGCAAAGCTGGGTTATGGGAGAGGGAATACTGGGTGCTGGAGTTTATTTTAGATCTGAGAAGGTGGCATTGGAGCTGAGACCTGAAGGATCTGGGGACCCAGCATTCCTGGAAGAAGGACCAGCAAGTGCAAAACCTCAGAGATGGGCATGAGCCCAAGGGATGTGATGAGATGGGCTGTGCTCAAGACAGAGAAAGAAGGCCTGGCAGGGGAGGTAGAAGGTGGGGTATGCAGACCCTGTAACACTGTGTGGCACATCAAGGACTTTGGATTTCAGGGGTACATTCAGTGGAAGACATTGGGGGGATGAAGAAGTGGGTGACTTACCTGCTTTGTGCATTCAAAAGCTCCCTTTGGCTGTCCTGCAGAGAACCCACTAAGGGAATGGGGAGGGCCAAGCAAAGTGCAGCCAGGCAGAGCAGAGAGGAGACCACAGCTCCGGTTTACAAAATATTCATGGTGTGGGTTAGGGTGGTGCATTTAGAACATGGCCACAAAATTATCTGACACTCCCCACATTGAGAGATGGGTTCTCTGTACCATCCCTGCTTGAATCTGGGTGGATAGGCTTGTGATGGTTTCCACCAATAAGGTGTGGCAGAATTGTGTGCACAAATAGCAAGTTTCAGGGATAAAAGACAGTGCAGCTATGCAGCCTGCCTTTTGTTGGCTGGAACACTCATGCTGAGGCCCTGAGCCACCATGGAAGAAGCCTGGAGGCTGCCATGCTGTGAGGAAGCCCAGGCATAGGTAGGGGCCAAGTGTGAATGCTCCAGTCCACAGTCCCAGGTAAGTTCTGCACTGGAGACATCCAGCCTGGGAGCCAGACACGTGGGTGAAGGCACCCCAAGATGACACTGGTCACAAGGAAGCAGGGCTCATGGAGGTCCAAGGTACCTGGAGAATGGGGTATCAAAGGGAATGAGGGTGCGGGGAGATTTGCAGGGAAAAGGCCTGACATGGAGTCTGGGGACTCATGGCATATTAAGAAATGTGGTCCTTATTATAAAGGGAAGCAGATGTCACATGAACAGATTCACACCTCAGATGGCTCATTGTGGCTGTTGTGGGAACCAACAGAAGAGGGCCAGAAATGAGGGCAAGTCAGGAGGTCTCAACAACCATACTGGGGGAGCAGGCCCAGGATGGTCAAGGTGGGAGCAGATGGTGAGGAGAGGAGGGGATGGACTTGAGAGCTAGTTTGAAGGCAGGATAGGCAGGATGGGGACGGCCTTGAGGACAGCATCCTGTCCCGGGAGAGAATGTGACTGGTGAGGACAACACAGAAAAGGGACCCAGGAAGGAGTTCTCAGGGAGATTAACTTGGTTTTGGACAAGCTGAGCTTGAAGTGTCTGTAGGTCACTGAAGGGGTGGCTCAAGGCGTGTGCCTGGTGCTCAGGAAGGAGAGTTGTGGCTGTGGAGAGTGCGGGGTCACCACTGCCAGGAGTGGGCAGGGATTCACACTGAGGTGGACAGGACAGCCTGGCAGGCCGAGATGGATGAGTGGGGAAAGCCCTTTGCAGGACCCCAGGAACTCAGCATGATTTAAATAATCAGCTGGGGAAATGGAGACACTAAATGTGACTGATGAAGATGAGCCCCAGAGGTAGGGAGTTAATCAGAGAGTGAGAAGAAGAAAGGAGTTTTTAGTGTCAGACTTCACAGAGAAGGCAGGGGAGGCAAGGGCTGAAAAGGGTCCAATATTGTCACCCTGGCCTCAAAGAGCCTTGCAGTCTAGCTCCAAATTACCCTTATGGCCTCCACATTTCCCAGACTCCTGTGCCCATATCACAGCAAATGAGTAGTTCCCACTAGCATTTACAAAAAGGCAATAGACCAGAAAATATCAGAGGGCCATTGTACATTATAAGGTTCCAACTCTGTGTATGTGTATTTTGGGTGTGTATGTATGTACATTGTGCGTTGTGATTTTTTAAAAAAAATGAGAGACTGGTGTTGCAACCTGTCATTCCTTTGCATCTGCCTAGAATGCCTTTAGCCCTCTCTTCCACCTGGTAAACTCCTACTTCATCCTTTAAGCCCTACCCAAGTAGGGCTCCTCTGAAAAGCCTTCCTTGATCAATGTTCCTTCTGTCCTAAGCACTTAGTCTCTTCCTCAGTCATTCATTCATCCTACATTCCTTCAGTCTACCCACGGTAGACTGGCAGGTAGGGCACTGTGTGGAAGTGGCTGTGTCGACTTACCCACGAGAGATGGGCAGGTAGGGCGCTGTGTGGATCTGGCTGTGTCCACACACTCATGAGAGACGGGCAGGCAGGGTGCTGCTTTGGACTGGCTGTGTCCACTCACCCATGGGAGAGAGGCAGGCAGGGCGCTGTGTTGAACTGTGTCCACAAACCCACGGGAGACGGCCATGCTGGGTGCTGTGTGGAACTGGCTGTGTCTAGTCACACATGGGAGACGGGGAGTTAGGGGGCTGTGTGGAACTGGCTGTGTCCACACACCCACAGGAGAGGGTCAGGCAGGGCGCTGTGTTTAACTGGCTTTGTCCACAAACCCTCGGGAGACGGGCAGGCAGGTCTCTGTGTTTAACTGGCTGTGACCACACACCCATGGGAGACGGGCAGGCAGGTCTCTGTGTTTAACTGGCTGTGTCCACACACCCCCGGGAGACGGGCAGGCAGGGCACTGTGTGGAACTGGCTGTGTCTACTCCCCCTTGGGAGACCGGCAGGCACGGCGCTGTGTTGAACTGGCTGTGTCCACTCACCCAAGGGAGACGGGCAGGCAGAGCCCTCTGTTGAACTGGCTGTTTCCACTCACCCACGGGAGATGGGCAGGAAGGGCGTTTTGTTATACTGGCTGTGTCCAAACACCCACGGAAGACGGGCAGGCAGGGCGCTGTGTGGACCTGGCAGTGTCCACATACCCACAGGAGACGGGGAGGCCGCGCGCACTGTGGAACTGGCTGTGTGCACTCACCAAAGGGAGACGGTTCGGATCGGCGCTGTGTGGAACTGGCTGTGTCCACTCAACCACGGAAGACGGGCAGGCAGGGCGCTCTGTGGAACTGGCTGTGTCCACACACCCACGGCTGACGGGCAGGCACGGGGCTTTGTTGGACTGGCTGTGTCCTCACACACACGAAAGACGGGCAGGCAGGGTGCTGTGTGGATCTGGCTGTATCCATACACCCACGGGAGACAGGCAGGCAGGGCGATGTGTGGAACTGGCTGTGTCCACTCACTCTCTGGAGACGAGCAGGCAGGGCACAGTGTGCATCTGGCTGTGTCCACAAACCCACGGGAGATGGGCAGGCAGGGCACGGTGTTGGACGGGCTGTGTCCACTCATCCACGGGGAGGGACGGCCAGTGCAGGCCGCTGTGTTGAACGGATGTGCTCCAACACCCATGCGAATGCTGGTATGCTGGGTGACTGTGTGGAAATGGCTGTGTCCAGTCACCCATGGGAGACGGGCAGGCAGGGCGCTGTGTGGAACTGTCTGGCTCTGTCCACTCACCCACAGGAGTCGGGCAGGCACGGGGCTGTGTGGTACTGGCTGTGTCCACTCACCCACGGGAGACGGGCATGTAGGGCACTGTGTTGAAATGTCTGTGCCCACACACCCAAGGGAGACGGGTAGGCAGGGCGCTGTGTTGAACTGGCTGTGTCCACACACCCACAGAAGACGGGCATGAAGGGCGCTGTGTGGAATTGGCTGTGTCCACTCACCCACGGGATCTGGCAGGCAGTTCACTGTGTGGAAATGGCTGTGTCCATTCACACAAGGGAGACGGGCAAGTAGAGTGCTGTGTGGATCTGGGTATGTCCACAACCCATGGGAGATTGGCAGGCAGGGGACTGTGTGGAACTACCTATGTCCACTCACCCACGGGAGACGGGCA